TTCCAAAATATCCTTGAACCGAACAACAATGTGTAACATTTAGACAAAAATACTTTTGAAAATTAGCAATGTCATTTGATTCATTCCTCCTTTCTCTTACCAGTGTACCCAAATACTAATCAAACTTACTAATACAAAAGCAACAAAATCTTCAAATCCTTTTTACCATTCACTGACAAAAACAAAACCACCAAAGCAAAAACCTACCTAGTTAGCATAAACATTTGAAACATGTATTTAAAGCCTCATCAGAACAAAAGAGCAAAGCCATCAAATGGAGATACATCCCCTAACAGCGTGCCTGCAGCCTTGAAAAGAGTGTAAACAGTCTCATACCTCCTGGGTTCCTGCTGCTCTCTTAGGAGAGCACAGAGGAACACAAAAACATCACAACTGGCCTCCACACATTAGTTTGACCCAGGCACCTTCAGCTTGCTTCTTGAGACTTAGTGCTACTGATGCGCAGATTGACTCTAACCCCCTTGTACAACCCCCCTGTACAATGCCCCTGTACCCTGGTCAACCCTCTGCATCACTACTATTTAAGTTTTTAAAAAAGAATATAATCTTTCATACTGCCCTCATGTACATAATTGCTGCCACAATGTATGTAATTAAATATTCCATCCTGCAAAAACTGAGTACTTTGACTCCAAGCAGACATTCACTTAAGCCAGTCTTTACCTTCTATAGCTAACACATATATCGAAAGTAAAGCATGAAATTAGTGCTTTGCTGAGGGAAGGCTAACATATTAGTACTTCATAGGATTGACCCCTTAACTGATGTTTGCATGCATGTGTGTCTCTTTATAGTTTTATATATACAAATAATTTTACCTGAACCTGACAGATTTACATGTATAGTATCAGGCTTTGGTAGTTGGGTCACTACAGGATACGGAGTAAGATTTATTGCTCACAATTCAGTGGTGACTTTTGCATAATATGATACATAAAAATAAAAACCAGATATTATAAAATATGAAGTAACAACACAAAGGGTGTTACAGTAACTTCATAGAAAACAGTAGAGGTTCCTCACATGGGATGCCATTCCCCTTACTGGTTACACACCTGCACTGTTTGGGAAAAGCCTAACATGAGAAAGCAGATTTAGTCTGCTTGCCTTTGAAAGCAGAGCACGACAGAAGGCAGGTTCACCATGAGAACAATGGGGAAAATTATTGTCATTAGAAGGAAGAATAAGAACTATTTAATGGATCAGTTTTTCACCATATACCCTGGGACCTACTGGAGATGGAAATCACTTCAGGTCAATAAGCAGTGGGATTAAAAAGCAGCTCAATTCTCACGCAGCTAAAAATAATATCCAGAATAGATGCAATTACTGACTTTGTAAGAAACGCTAGACTTCACATGCTTCAAAGTTTAAGACAACACAGAAAGCAGCACTGCCTCTGAGCCACTAACACCTGCAATCACACTATGCTCTTGTCCTTCCTTGTGCCAACACTACCCCTTTTCCAAGGAATGTTTTGACCCAATGGAGTTATTGGGAGCTTGCATGTTTTTAGTTCCAGAACAGCTATGAACAGAGGCATACTGGAGGCATCTGGACACATTTGGCATCAACAGCACTTTGCCACCGACTCCACTGCCATGAGGAGACAGTGAGCACCAGCAGATCTCAACTCTTTTGGGAGACACTCATTTCTGCAGAGATACATATTTGCTTTTTCAACAGTGATGAAGTATTTAATTTTGGAAGCAAAGGTGGTGTTTTTCATTTGGGTTGCTTCTCTAAAGCACTTAAAAAAATACTGTATTTTTTTTAATCTTCTGATTTTTTTTTCCAGATATCACAGCATTATTTTTTTTTTCTGTATAGACTTCCATTTGAAAATGAGTTTGCAAGGCTGAAATTAAACTCTAGTCTAACCAGTCTGAACAAACAACATAGGAATTTCAAGATTAAAAACATGCACATCTTATCATAAGTAGTTCATTGAGCATAAGGGGAGTTTTGAACATACCACAGCACAGAGCCTGTAGGGACATACATTCAAAATATACTTTAAATAATAAAAATATATTCCATTAGATGGCTACAATCCATTCCTCTTCCAAATGTGAGCTTGTGAGGATCAACATGGAAGAACTATACATGCTCAAATCACGAATCTTCACTTTTTCTATAGTGATGACATTATTCTGAACTTTTTCAACATTGCCAAACTGAGGTTTGTATCACTGATGCCAGTAAAACAGTAAATTGTAAATCTATGATGTCTCCAATGGATTAGAACATTTGGCTTTGGGGATCCTTTTTATTAAAGATTTTCTTTGGAATATTAGTATGATCCTCTGTACTTCGAATTCTGCCTGGCATGAGTTCATTAACTGATAGTTTTGAGAGTCACTAAAAAGTGAATTACATCCACCATCAAAAAAAAATGAACCCAAACAAAAACAACTTTCTGAAATACTCTGGCAAAAAGAAGCATTTTTCATTTTCTGCCATGAAGCATTATTTATTTCTCTTTCCCCATTCTGCATCTTAACCTTTTCCTTCTAATTTTGGCATCTGAAGAGTTATCAGATAGAAAATAAGTGTTTTCCCTGCAGTCTCTGCAGGTAACAAAATGAACAACAAATCTTGCAAGTTCTTTTGTGTTACCAAAAACCGCACCTTAGTATTTCCTTCACTTCATGAACTCTAAGTGATTATGACAAATCACTAATCTTTGCTTTCTCCTGATCATCTGTAGTTTCTGCATGTCATCCAAAACAGATGGGATGTTTTGCAAAACAAGATTTTACAAAGCTGACATCTAAGAATAAGAGAGACCAAAATTAAAATACTGCCCAGTGTAAAAGAAAATGTCAGGCCACAAGAATAAGAGAAGATTAGGGAGGAGTAAGCATTGGGAAGTTGAGGCATACCAAGAGGACAAATGTGAGAAAGAGAAGGAATATATCAAAATGGCTTAGACAAGTTTTCCTTGCATTATGAAAGCAACAAAAAGGTGACATGATAAACTGTAGAAAAATTCAGGAAGTGAGGAAAATATTTTGCCCACTGTTATCACATCACTGTGCAAACAGACAGCCCTCAGATTTTAGGAAAGATGACTCTTTGGGATACATCCAAAAATTAACTCACACATTTTACATTTAAAATAGAAATGACTGGAAAATTGGGTGGAAAAGATTCTTTTTTTTTTTCTTTCCTTTTTATTTTTTCCCAGTGTTCTCCCTACAAACTTTCATTGAAATCAGCCCTGAGAATTTTAGCAAGATCTCTTTTTTTAAACTAAATGTGGTAGGCAATCAGGTCTCCAATCCAAACCTACCGAGTTCAATATGCACGCACACACATATGCACAGAAGGTTTCTGCTGATCTCACTTGACTACTTGGCTCAGAGGTCTGCTACAGAAGCTGCTATATGTTCTGTTCAAATCCAGTGGTTCTAATAGCGAAATTTCCCTTGCAAGGATGGGGACTAATACATACTGTTTTTCAGGAACACAAGCAATTTACCTGAAACACTTGGTTCCCTACACTGCTGAGACACAATGTGCAGGCATAGGATTTTCAGAGCCCAAAGGCAGAGAGCTGCCCGAGGGCTCTAGTTTCTACAGATAGGTACATCTACTGCATCTTTGTATGCTTCCCCCTCCAGTCTTTGGTGAGCTTCATCTTCTAATCATTTTTCTACACCAGCTGTTCTTTGAGTAATCTTCGACTTACCAAATAAGCTCCCAATTTTCTTCATACATAATTTCTCTTCCCCCATCCCTTTTTTAAGATCAAGTCTTTCTTAGGAAAAAGAACAAAACAAACTAAGGAAAAAAAATAACTTAAATGGCAATGAAGATGATCATTCTGCAGCCAGGAAAATTATCCAAACTTACTGGATGTCTAACTAAGAACAAGTAACAGCACACTTCAGTCATGTACCATTTATCACTATCTTATAAGCTGCACATGTTTCTGACTGATTCTATTCCCTAATCAGACATCCTCTTTCTATGTTTGTATATTTATTCCTTTCATCATGAATCACCTTATAGCTGTCTTCATAGAATTCTGGAATATTGATTTAAAAAAATAAATATATAAATAAAGCAACAATTTATCAATATTTACTGCACAAAAATATTCCCAGATCATCCACTGTGGTGATATTAGCAATGAAGAATATGTTTGCTCTTCTGAGTCAAAAAAAGACACTGAGTCAGAGATATTTATTCTGTTCCATGGTTTTATGTGGGTTTATGAAAATAAAAATATTTCTATGGTAGAAACTAATCTAAAATTTGCTGAAATAATAAATTTTTTTCATTAAATTTTAATATTAATAACTTTAATAAAATAGTCCGGGGGGGGAATACAACACTAATGAATAGCTTTGCTATCACAACAAACAGGGAAATAATCCGTCAATCCTGTATGTATAAACTTTCCTTTGAGGATTAATTATAGATAGAAACTAGGATTTTCATGCCTTCAAAATCAGCACATTTAGATCATTGTCTCTTACAAGGGCCTGAGGATTACTGGGTTTTGATTTTTTGCCCAAACAAATAACTAGGGTGTTTCCAAAATATTATCAAGATATAAAGTTTTACACTGTAAAGGACTAAGGGAACAAGACGCACGCATTCTGACATTAAAAGGACACGTATGTGCAGCTCTTCAACTTTTTTGTTCTGATGGTTTTTGTTAGCACAATTTCTAACATCAGTGTTTGGCAAAGTTTTTTGGACAAATTTTCCACATTTTCTATCCTCCAACAGAAAGAGCTTATAAAATGCTCCTCATCAAAAATAAGCTGATAGAGAATTAGTGTGATACATGGTGCTCTACAACTGCTATTGTATATTCCTGTCACAAAGGCATTCTAATCACCAAGCCACCAGTTGGGTGAAGACTTCCTCCCCTCTATCATTAGCATCTGCCTCTCCACAGCTGAATAGGAGAGCTTTTTTATTATCATTCTAACATTACAAAAGTTCAATCTCATGTTTCCAACCTGGTCTCCAAAGTCCTCCGGGAACTTCCACAGTACCACTGGATCTGTAAGTAATTGACAGATAGCATTAATCAGAGGCAAAGGAACAGAGTATTACAGTCAAAATACATTAATATTAAAAAGAGGGTCAGCTTAGCGTCAAGCTTTGAGGCAAGCGCAAAAACGTACCTAAAAACTAAGGAAGATACTGGATTATTAAAAAGACTTATCTCCTATTTATGAAACTATATGTTTATTGTTTTACATACATAGCAGGTTATAACATACTGAACTACCTTTATCTCCTTCTTTTCAACCTTTGAGTACTGAATTTGTTAAGCACTTTTCAATTTTTTTATTTTAATTTCATTAAGAAATAAAAAGATATAAAACCTCTTTCTATCCAGTGAAAAAAAAATATGTAAAATGATAAGGGAAAACAAAGATCTCTATGAGGTATAGAAAAGCATCATTTGCAATTTTAAGGATAGCACCAAAGTAAGCAGCACTCTCAAGGAAGTGTTTATAAGAGCCAGCATATTTGAATATTTTCTGTTCAGAGCCATTTAAAAACCAACATTTCAATAATATCTTAAAGTTTCATTAACTTATTGTTAATTATCAAAACAATCAGTGTTATTTAGGCTATACATTAGTCTACAATTAACATTATTTAAGTCATCTAACACAATGACCTGAACCATAACCTTTCAACAAAAACTGAATTATGTTCTTCATCCCCCCCAAAGCTTTTAATCTCCTGTGATAAAAAACCTTCCCGAGGTGCTACTGTTAAACTGTACCACAAATACCCACAAACTTCACAGCACTTTTATAGAACAGATTAGCAGCAGCATTTGTCCATGTGCTAAAAGTGAAATTACCCATCTTCCTGCAAGAGAGCCCAGGTCAGTGCCAAACCCTGAACTAGAGGGAGAGCTCACCAATGCCTGTTTGTGCCCCAGCCAACATCAGGCAGATCCTCCCACCACTGACTGCATGGCTGAGGACAGCTGTAGGTGCCAGAGAGCAGTAAAATGAATGGTGAAACACCCTGGTAAGCACCAGAGACGCTGCCTGACGTGAACTGCAAGATTTTGGCTACCACAGCAGTTGCTGGGATTCCTGTCTTCTAAGAAGCCAAGATCTGGGAAAAGTATTTGGATTTCCACTTCTTCCTCTAGTGCTAGCACTGGCTGATAAATCAGCAACTTCCTTCTCACTGCTACGTTTTACATCAGAACCAGAGGGTTCTCTACTTTTGGCAAAGTACAGAGGTTTCTACGCTTCTTCATCCTACCACACGTTTGCTGCTGCAAATGAAGCTTTAATGGAATGGAAATTAATGGTATTTTCATTCCCAGCTGCTGATTTCAAATCCTACTACTCAACACACAGCTGTTGCACCCATGTCTGCTGCTGGCCCACTCACAAGGAGCTGGAGACCGAAATCATTTTCCTTCACTTTGGGCCAGATGTTAAACTAACAGTGAAACATGCATTTTAAATGTATTGTGAAATTCAACTCCTCATTCAACTCAACCTAATTCAGACCTAATTTTTATGTAATTCAAATCTGAGATTTTAGATATAAATGTCCCCATTTCACTCTTCTTACTGGAGAAGCACATTTTTTACTACTAAGTCAGGGGAGGGGTGGTGTCTGCAGCTATTTTTTATTTAAATGTATCTTGTAAGCAAGATGCTCTGTTTATAAAAATATGAGTAAATAGATACAGATACTTACAACAGAGACTTTTTTCCCCCCATCTATTTTGTGTGCATTTAAACACATCTGTGTAATGATCAGATACAAGAGGACTTTGAATATTTCAGTGCATATTCTGTAAGGGATCTCTTATTTTTATCCCAATCTAGTATCACAGAATATGAAAAGAATGTAGTTATAGATCAACAGTGATCTCAGATAAATTCAAGGAGCAGCAAGCATGGTAACAGCTATCAAATACTCAATGGTAAGTATTTATCTGCTATAAACCACTGGAAACTGCGTAGAATCCAAAAAGTGCTTTAAAAGAGCTTTCAAATCTGAGGCCATATGTCTACAAATGTGTCAAGCATAAGTTTCTCTGCAAACGAGCAATCCCATTGCACTCCCACTACCAGCTGCTTGTTGGTGATCCTGTTCCATCATCTCTCTCCTGCTGGTGCAGGCTCTTCCACAGCTACACACTGAACCACCAGATGAGGGAACTGACCAAGATCAAGCCGTCTGGAATTTTTCAGGTCAGCGCCAATGAGATCAGTTCCTCTAAAGTCATTAGTTTTGTGTTGAAAGAAAAAAAAAAAAGGGGGGGGGGGGGGGAAGAAAAAATGGGGAATGGGGAGCTGTGGTCAGAAGGAAGCAGGACTGCTTCATCCGGCGGCAATCCAGAATTAATCATTGGCTAGACCTCATGAAATACAAGCTGGTTACTCCCTGCCTCTAGTCCCATTTCTTATCACCTATTTCTTGTTCAAAACTTCCCAAGTCCTGCTGTACCATTTATAGTTCTTCTATTGCAAAACTCAAGAGCTACTGCTGTGACCAGGCACGCAGACCACTCTGCAGTAAAGCAGGCTGACGCAGCACCACCCCACTGCAGAGGAGCAGGCTTGGCAAACTTGCCTCTTCCAAGCAGCAAAACCAGGCAGATTGCTTTAGCAGATGTGAAGAATAGTTACATGAGAAGCATTGAGTATCTGGGAATGCTTGGCAACACAGTAACAAAATCATGGGGTTTCTGATGCTTTCTAAAAAGTTCAGTGCATAAACCAGAACAGAAAGAAATGAGACTTCTTTCTTTCACTGTTCTGAGTGGAAGTGCAACTGCCAGGCTTCAAAAAAGGAAGAAGATCACAACAGCAAAGCCTCCAAGTACAGTTTTCAAAAGGTCACAATCGGAAGCAAAGTACAACCTCAGAATTAAGCAAAACTTGGCCCTAGGTAACCTGGGCCTTGGGGCCAAAAGAATGGGAAAATAAAACACACCTCAGTGAGATGTCAACAAAGCTGAACAGCATTTCACATGAGCACCCTTAACCTACTAGCAACAAGAGCAACAGCTCCAATAACTTCTTTTGGTGCCCTGATACGCTGATAGATACAAAGCCTGCAACTTTAAGTCAGCGTCATACTCAGCTTACTATCTTCACTTCGTATTAGGACACTCTCATACTACTATGGTCTCACTTGAAATTATGCAGACTCTAAAGTAAATACCAGTTCACTCAACTACAAGTATAGTTTCATATCAGGATAGAATATTTGTCTCATGAGAGCAGAATTAAATCAGTGTGATCTAAACAGGCAGAATAATGCTCTTAATACTCCTTCATGAAACATTTTGAAAAATATACTTAATTCAAGAAAAACATTCAGTGCTACATTCAGCAAAAATTACACGCTTCCAACGCTGTCCAACTGCTTTGAGCTGGGTTTGCCGCTGTTATTACTGGCTTTTAACTGGTTATTTTAGGAGGTACTTGCCATACATTTATTAACTAAGAAAATCTGATGTGACTTGTGCTTCAAAAAGAAAGGTTACTGTACTGTTTTTATGCCTTCGCTCTCTGAAACCAAACCCTAACACCTATAAAAAGCCTCAGAATTTTATGAGAATTATCCAAGTCAGGGATTGGGCTTTTTTCGTAAGATTATGTTTGTTTCTACTTTTGGAGCTAGGCTCACGCAGCATCTGACACATCTTTGTGGCAACTCCTCACAAGCACTGCAAAGGAAGAAACAAAAGGGTACTGATTTAGAAATAAAAAGAGAAAGTATAATCCCATTCTGCAACTTTATGCACTTTATCTTCAGATTTACAAAGACTGAATTTTCTTTTCCCTGAGGATTACTTTCCAGATACCCCATTTGATCTGGCAACGTAGGTCAATTTTATGCTGATTTTATGGGTGAGAGGATGAGAATCACTTAGAAATAGCTGGTGCTATAGCCAGCCAACTGAGTTTCTCCTCATTTTCTAACAGATTTTTTTTGGGAAAAGCTCTTTGCACCAGTTCTACATAAGTGTAGTAATTAGTGGAAATGGTTAATTGCACACTTAAAGTCTGTGCATTACATGTGCAAATGTATCTATTGCTGCATAGAAATATATACATATGCACATACAAGAATCACTTCTTCCTATGCCTACTGCATCCAGGACAGATATTTCTTAGCACAGGCCAGTAATGCTTGAAAAGTCCTTTGCTAAATATCCTACAGCATTGGAAAGTACATCTCCCAGCTGTGATTTTCACACCGCTGCAAGGCTGCTGCTCATGCACATGTTGCTAGATATAATTTGTGACATTTGATTTGACTACTTCTGCACCATTTGTGATCATCTAAGTCCGTCTATGCATATTTTAAGACAAAGCTTTTCATAATGAGATTCGGAAAGAACAAGTTAAACCCATGAGGACCACAATTAGAATTAGATGCAACTCTTGGTGCAAGTTAGAAGAGAGACAAGCATGGACAGGTCTGTTAAGGGACCAAAACTTAGAGTACCATGTACCTGACACAAAGAGAAAACTGAGTCACGGGCAACACTTAAAAACAAAAGTATTCAAAATACTGCAACCTAGAACTGCTCCACAAGAAAAATGCAGGTAAGTATGAAACGTGCTAATAGAAGAGAAAAACATATGCATATCCTCAAGGTAATTCCTCTCCAAAACTCTATTCCGACAGAGGTAACTTCATAAAGCATGTCATTGGTATTTTTAGAAAAATACTTCTAACACACTTTAGCTTCTGTAACAAACCTATGAAAATCTAAAAGTCCGGTTTCTCATGACAGAGGATAGGAGTAGTTCAATTGGAACAATGGCAAAATAAAGAGAAAGCTTTCAGAGTGGTATCTTTCCTAAAAATTCAGTAGTTAAATATACTCCAAAAATACTCTTCACAATTATTAAGCTTGCAGATTATAAATATCACCCCAAAATACAACAGCATAATCTAATGCACATTCAAATTGGGAATGGAACAGAAATGATGAACACATGCTGAGAAACATCCCAGGTAATTTTCCTGATAGCAACAGAGAGCAATTTC